TACAGCCCGCGGCGCACACTGCATCGCGTACACCACATCGCGCATCGGGAGCAGCGCGGTGTCGCTCCGCGTGGAGCCAGGAGCCCGGAGCCGAGGAGCCAGCGGTTGTGCCTGGGAGACCCCGATCTACTGCTGCGCTCCTGTCTGCGCTGGTGAGTTGGGCAGCAGATGCAATCGGGGCAAGCGGAGGGGTCAAGTACCGGGATTTGACCTAGAGGCAGAATGACCTGGGAAGTGGCTCAAAGTTTTGAGAAGGGCAGTTTTCTTTTCTTTTTTTTTTTTTCTTAAAACTAGAATTCGGCAGCGCAGTGGAGGGCTCCCCGCCGCTCCCTGCTACCTCCCCGCCAGACTGGGGACAGGATCCCCGCTGCTCCCCCCTGGACACGAGAGGGCTCCCCACCCCCTCCCCGCCAGAACGCGCACGGGCTCCCCACCCCCTCCCGGCCGGGACCCACGAGGGCTCCCCACCCCCTCCCGGCCGGGACTCACGACGGGCTCCCCACCCCCTCCCGGCCGGGACCCACGAGGGCTCCCCACCCCCTCCCGGCCGGGACTCGAGACGGGCTCCCCACTCCCTCCCGGCCGTAACCTGCACGGGCTCCCCGCCCCCTTCCGGCCGGGACACCAGACGGGCTCCCCGCCCGGCCACCCACCCCGGGACCCGCACAGGCTCCGCTCCCCCTCCCGGCTGGACCCGAGACGGGCTCCCCGCCCCCTCCCCGCCAGAACGCGCACGGGCTCCCCACCCGCTCCCCACCGGGACCCACGAGGGCTCCCCACTCCCTCCCGGCCGGGACTCGAGACCGGCTCTCCCCCCCCCCCCCCACGCCGGGACCCGCACGAGGGCTCCCCACTCCCTCCCGGCCGGGACTCGAGATGGGCTCCCCGTCCCCCTCCCCCCACGCCGGGACCCGCACAGGCTCCGCTCCCCCTCCCGGCTGGACCCGAGATGGGCTCCCTGCTGGACCCGAGACGGACCTTCCATGCTCCCCTCCGCGTCCCCAGAGGATGCACAAACGCGGCGCGCACACCAGGTGGCGCACTGGGAGCAGCAGTGGATGTGGAGATCAGCGCCCTTGGAGTTCTTCTATCTTGTGGCGGGATGGTGTTTGAGAGCAGTCACTGAGCTCTAGATTTTCATGCTACTCGAGGTCCGCACTGTGCAGCTCACATCAGAGGACGCCTACAGTCTGATCTTGCACGGATCTGGCCGTATGCTGAGTGGGTGACCCGTCCTCTGCCAGGGACAGTGGCAGGATGCTAAAAAGGGCTGCTCGGCTGCTGGACACACTCACTTTTTAAAAATGGTTTTATTCCTTGTTTTCTATGATACAGTTCTGTAGGTATAGGGGTTCTCTGTCTTCCTGCTTTCACTCCCTCCCTTTTCACTCCTCTCTCCTATTCCCCCATGTTATCAGAATAGCCAAGTCCCTATGGCGAGTTTCAAGTTTAACTGTCTGGTATCCCCTCCTGAGAGACTCTTGAAAAGCGTGCAGACGTCACAGCTGCAGAGTGTCCTGCACCAGAAATACCAGAAACTTCCCCAGGAAGAGCTCCACAGCACCGCATGGCTGGGGGTCGCACCCCCAGGTCAACGTGAACATCAGAAGAGACCTCCAGTCTCTGCTCCCTGGGGATTGTGTCTCTCAGAGGGAGGTGGAGGCAGGAAAGGGCTAGGGATTCACTGTGGAAACTGAGCTCTTCAGATTCCCAAAGACCTAATGTGTTTCTCTTTTTCCTCATCCCTCTCCCCCCTCTGTCTTCAGCTGTGAGGCAGGGGTCAGAGAACGGCTCTGGGGAAATGGCAAAACGTCCTGTTTTTCGCCATCGCTGCCTGCCTTGCCTTCCACCTGGAGAGGAAACAGAGAAGGGCTCCTTAAAGATGAGGGGGGATGTGCAAGTGAGAAATGCGTTCACTTAAGTTACATGTGGACATGACAGCAGCCAGATGGTCTACACCACAAGTGTCTTCTCACCACACCAAGGCCCCTTACCCAAACCCAACTCCTAGGATCCAGAACAGCACTTCTCTGTGGGCCTCAACTCCCGGTCTCCACCTGAGCTCTGGCTGTTCTCCTTCTGGGCTCTTAATCCTACATTTCATTTTCTAAAATACAATTTGGCTTTTCACTTTTGTTTGTCTGATGTAGAAATGACCTGATTAGTTCTATCCTACTCTGCACTGACAGAGCAACACAAATATGACAAAATATCAAAAACTGAAATTGGGTCTGGCATGCTAGCCTGGCGGCAGAAGTCCTCACCTAGCACATGCCCTGATCCCATATGGACGCCGGTTCTAATCCTGGCAGATCCGTTTTCCATGCAGCTCCCTGGTTGTGGCCTGGGAAAGCAGTGGAGAATGGCCCAAAGCCTTGGCACCCTGCACAGGCATGGGAAACCTGGGAGAGACTCCTGGCTCCTGGCTTTGGATCCATGCAGCTCCAGCCATTGCAGCTACTTGTGGAGTGAATTAATGGACGAAAATGTTCCTTTCTGTCTCTCTTCTCTGTGTGACTTCCCAATAAAAATAAATAAATCTTTTAAAAACAACTGGTAAACCCTTTCCACTTTTATTATTATCATTTTAACCTTTACTTAGTTCTTAACAGATTCATATTTATACATATGTGTGTCTATACATATGAGTGCATGGAATTAGATCCCTATTTTTCACCATACACAAGCATCAACTCAGGTTGGATCAAAAATGTCAATTTAAAATCTGAGACTGAGAAATTGCAGGAAGAAAGCATTGAGGAGGGGCCAGCACAGTGGTGTAGTGTACTCATCCTCAGCCTCTCCTGTGTGGGCACCAGTGTGTGTCCTGGGCTGCTCTGCTTGTGATCCAGCCCCCTGCTGTGGCCCCGGAAAGCAGCAGAGGATGGTCTGAGAAGACGCAGTGTGCTTCCAATCTTGCTAAACTTGCTGAGATTACTTGTAGTCTGTCCTCGAAAATGTTCCATGTGCTGGTGAGAAGAGCAAGTAGAAGAATCTGCCATCAGTGCCTGTGGGGCCCATTGGCTCCATAGTGTGTGCACTGCAGTGGGTCATTACTGATTTTCTGGAGGATCTGTCCTTGGTGAGCGATGTTGAGGACATCCACTGTGATTGCGTTGGAGTCCATCTCTCCTCAGATCTAATAACAATTGTTATATATCCTTGGGTGGTCTTGTTTTGGTTAACGTATTTATGACTGTAATGTCTTCTTGTTGAATTGAATATATATCAAAAATATGTAATGCCCTTTACCTCTTTTACATTTTTTGTTTGAAGTGTGTGTTGTTTGTATTAGGCAGCTACTTCTGCTCATGTTTGGTTCTCTTCTGCCTGATGTATCTTTGTTTAAAAATGTTTGTGGTAAGATTTATTTATTTTATTGGAAAGGCAGATGTAGAGAGAGGAGGAGGGACAGAGAGGAAGATCTTGTGTCTGCTTATTCACTGTCCAAGTGACCACAACGGCCTGTGCTGCACTGATCCGAAGCCAGGAGCCAGGAACTTCTTTCTGGATCTCCCACGCGGGTGCAGGGTCCCAAGGATTTGGGCCGTCCTTCACTGCTTTCCCAGGCCACAAGCAGGGAGCTGGATGGGAAGTGGAGCTGCCGGGATCAGAACTGGTGCTAAAATGTGATCCTGGTGTGTTCAAAGGGATGACCTTAAGGGTTAAGCTATCACACTGGGCCCTGTCTGATGTATCTTTCTCCAACCCATCACTTTCAGTCTGTATCTCTGTGAAGTGAGTTTCTTGTGGCCAACACATAAAGGGATCTTAGGCTTAACCCTGGGCTAATCTACGTCTCTTGGTTGGTAAATTGGATCCGTTTATATTCAATGGTAATATCTCTAGATAAGAACTCGGGGTAATCATTAGGTTGATTGATGATTGTACTTGTTTTTTATTGAGTTTAATGGTATCCTGTGTTTTAGTATTTACTTCAGAATGTCTTATACATTTGGTCTGTTGGGGATGAAGCCTCTGCTATTCTTATAATTCATTTTCCCTGTATTTTTAAAACAGATTTATTTATTTCTATTGCGAAGTCAAATATACAGGAGAAAGAGAGACAGAGAGGAAGATCTTCTTTCTATCTGATGATTCACTCCCCAAGTGGCTGCCAAGGCCAGTGCTGTGCTGATCAAAAGCCAGGAGCCAGGAGCTTCCTCCAGGTCTCCCATAGGGCCACAGGATCCCAAGGCTTTGGGCCGTCCTTGACTGCTTTCCCGGACCATAAGCAGGGAGCTGGATGGGAAGTAGGTCTGCCGGAATTGGAACCAGCTCCTATATGGAATCTCGGTTCAAGGTGAAGACTTTAGCTGTTAGGCAACTGCGTCAGGCGCTCAGTTTCCTTGTTTGATCTGTATTCTCTTATATCTCACTGGGTTTTCCTTAGAAACATGATTTTGGATTCTACATCTGCCAGCTCATAGATTCCCTCAGGTCAGGATCTATTCCAGAGGATGGTGGGGTTCCCAGAGTGTATATATTTGGTCCACAGAGAGCTCATTGTCTGTCTCCCTGGTGATTGTGGCAGCTGGGTCCTTGCTCATGGTGTTGAGAGGGACAAGGCTGGCTGTCCCCTTGTCCTGCTGGCAAGCCTGGCCGACTCCCTGGGCTTATGGGCCTGTGTGATGTGGATGGTCCCTTCCTCAGGTCCTGCGAGGAGAGTCCAAGGGGTGCTGTGGCTTCTGACCCAACAGCCCTGCTCTGGGACTAGGGAATGTGAACTGAGCCCTGCTCCTGTCCTACAGGATGACTGCAAAGTAGATGGGAGCCTGTCGTCTGCAGAGTTGAGTCCAGGGTGTTGGGGTGCAGGAAGGTCCTGTTGCTTGTAACCACCTGCGGGGGGCCAGGGAGAGCCTGACCTGCACTAGCTTGTGCACTTGTGGGAAGGGGACAGGAAGCCTCTGAGAGAGGCCCATGGAGAGCAGGGAAAGGGAAGCAGACTCATATTAGTCAACAGAATGAACCTGCAGCTCCATGCAATATTCCTGTGACAGCAGATTCCTTCCAGAGCAGCATTTTCTCGGGCCGTCCTGGAAGCTGCAGAAGTCTTGGGTGTGCAGCTGATCAGCCACTCTTCCTCCTTGTGCTACGAAGAGGGGACGGCTTCTTGCACTGCTCAGTCATGGTGCTTCGGGAAGTCTTCAAGCTGGTTCTTTGCGTTCTGCTCTCTCTTCCCCTTGCGGCACATGCAGGTAAGTATTTGACCGGAGGGAATTTTCCCCTTGGTTGTGTGTGCAACCCTGTCTTCAGCACTCTCTGGGTCCAGCTCAGTAGCTTTGCAAGCCAGGGGAGCCAGAAAGGAGAAGAAGGGAGCTCTCTTCAGAGTGTCTGGGAGTGAAAGCAGCAAGGACCACAGGTCTTGTTCCAAGGTCAGGGTGGCACCAGAGCAGCCTAGGTCCTGGGGCAGAGCATGCAGCTGGAGCAGTGGTCAGAGCAGGTGGGTGAGAGATGGTTAGCAGGGAGAGGGAGAGGAGAGAGATTAGAGGGAGAGGAGAGATGGAGGGGGAGGTGAAGGGAGAGGATCCAGAGCGGGGAGAGAGAGAAGGTGGGAGAAAGAGAGGAAGGGAAGTGGGAGGGGAAGAGGAGAGAAAGTTGCGAAGAAGGGCCCTGAGCTGGTAATAGGGAAGGGATAAGGAGGGGAGGAAGGGGGAGGGCAGGTAGAGGGAGAAAGGCAGGGGAGAGGGAAAGCAGGTGAGTGAGGGAAGAGGAGGGAGGGAGAGAGGAGTGAGAGGGAGACTGAGAGGAGGGAGAGTTATAAGGAGATGGAGACAAGGGCAAGGAGACAGACAGAGCAAGAACAAGATGAGAGAAGCCCGGGGAGGGCAGGGAAAGGGAGAAAGGCAGGGGAGAGGGAAAGCAGGGGCAGTGAGGGAAGAAGAGGGAGAGAGAGAGGCCAACAGTGGCCAGGGTAGGACCTGGCCCAAGCCAAGAACCTGGAGTATTGTAGGGTCTTCCACATGGTTGGCCACCTGCTGCCTCCCAGCAAGCTAGAATGAGTAGCAGAGCCTGGTCTCAACCCAGGCACTCTGATGTGGGATACGGGCAGCCCAGGCCAAGGCTTGAGCACTGCCTCAGACACCCACTTTTCTGCAGACTTTTCTTTTTGCCATGTAGCTCCCCCAGCAGATGGACTTATGTTCTCTGGGAAAGGCCACCGGAAGCAATGCACTTGCTGTGGGCTGTGGGTCGTTTGGAAATCAGCCCAGCTTTTGTGATTAGTGATGCCTGGCTCAGAGGGTTGGCCAAAATCTGGTAACGGGACAGAGATTCCAACATTCTTGTTTGAGTGCTTGCATCAGCCTCCTGACCACCTGTGCTTCCTCTTTGTGGACCTTGTCATTATTCAGATCAGGCACTATCCAGGTTGTCTGCACATCTGGCTGGCCTGTAGGATCCCCGTGCTCTGATTTTCACAGGCTCAGATCTTTGTGTACAGGGCCTGGCAGACATGGTGCCTTTCCCAGCAATGCAATCATGATGTCTTTCCAGTTCTGCACCTGTACTTAGCATCCCTTGTATTGAGATTTTTCACTCCATTATCACTTTGGGGTCATCCTCCACAGTGCCCAACCCCAGGCTTGAGCAGGAGCTGGGACTGTGCCTCTATGATGGAGGTGCCCCATTTTGCTGGTGAACAGGCTTCCTCCACACCTTCCGGAGGGACAGAGAGCACTGGACCTTTTCCTGAATTGTCATTTTATCTCCACCCTGGGATGTTTTGTGTTCCCGCCCTATGCAATGTGCTAAGGAAGTTGTGAGTTTTGTAGTGCATGTTGTGCGGGCTCATCAGCCCTGTTGCCTGTTGTGCTGTCCCAACCCTGTCCCATGGTGATCAGCACCCTCAAGGAAGCCGCCATGCACTGTCCCATCACCCTGCAATCCATGTGAGCAGATTTTCTGCCATCCATGCCTGGCACTGCCATAGTAGGCTCATGCACGGGTTGGTGGGCAGAGTGGAGGTGAGGCAATTAGGGGGAGTAAGATCCTTCAGAGGCAGAAGGAGATGCAGCGGTGAGCCCAGGGAAGTGCTCTCAAGGTCCCCTGCCCTAGAGAAGGATGTTTCTGCTGGCACAGAGCCTGTGCCTGGGTGACACTCACCTGTGTTATTCTTTCACAGACACTCACAGTCTGAGCTACATCTTCAGCATCACTGCTCAGCCCAAGCCTCAACAGCCATGGTGTGAAATTCAAGGGCAAATGGATCAGATGGTGTTTCTCTCCTTTCGCTGTGGTGGTGAGGTGAACCCTGTGGGACCCCTCGGATGGAAGCTCAACAGCACAAAGACCTGGGAGGATCAGATTGAAACGCTGAATTATGTGACTGAGGAGCTTCGGAACAAGCTGCTGGACCTTCAGTCCAGAGATCTTCCCAACCAGCGGTAAGTGTGAAAAGGCACCCTGAGGACAGCAGAGCCTATGGACATAGGGCCTTTTTCATGTGTAGATCAAAGCAACTTTTTTTTTTTAAAGATTTATTTATTTATTGGAAAGTCAGATCTACAGAGTGGAGGAAAGACAGAGAGGAAGATCTTCCGTCCGATGATTCACTCCTCAAGTGAGCGCACCGGCCGATGCTATGCCGATCTGAAGCCAGGATCCAGGGACTTCTTCTGGGTATCCCACACGGGTGCACGGTCCCAAGTCTTTGGGCCATCCTCGACTGATTTCCCAGGCCACAAGCAGGGAACTGGATGGGAAGTGGAGCTGCTGGGATTAGAACTGGCGCCCATATGGTATCCCGAGGTGTTCAAGGTGAGGACCTTAGCCACTGTGCCATGCCTCCGGGTCCCAAAACAACATTTTTGCTAGCCAAGGATAATGGCAGGGTACCTAGCACAGAGCATGCCAGGAAATACCAGAGGGACAGAAGCAGTGGATAGCAGGTGGGACGAAGTATTTGTCAAGACTGATGTTGGCCCATCTCTTCCCAATGGGGACAGATGTCCCCACCCTGCAGGCCAGATGCGCTGTGAAAAGGAAGGCAGTGGGAAAACACACGGATCCTGGAATGTTGGCTTCAGTGAAAAGAAAAACCTGCTCTTCAGCTCAGACAACAGTACGTGGGCAGAGCTTCATCCTAGAGCCACAGTGCTGAAGACAGTGTTGAATAAAGTCTCTAAAGGAGACTGTCAGAATTGGCTTTTGGGCTTCTTGCAATCCAGGATGGAGATGCTGGTGACCACAGGTAACTATGACGAAGTCTAGGGAGGGAGAGGTATTCCTTAGCGATGGGATGTGTGTGCTGTGAGTGTGGTCATGTGTGTATGCTGTATGAGTGTGTTCTGCCTGTATGTGTAGGAAAGTGCAGATACTGTGAGTGTGTATCTGTGAGTGTTTTTGTGTGTGTGAATGTGGCATGTGCATGCGTGTGTGTGTACATGAGGGTGTAGGCCTGTGTTCATGTGTATGTCAGTCCCTCCCGCTGCCTTTCCTGCCCGCCCCATACTGTGGCTGCACTTTGTTTCCCGACATTCTGCAACACGCTTCCCTTTCCCCCATCTCAGCTGCTGTTTCTCTGGGATCCTTCAGATTCCCACAACATCAGCTCCTGTGGCCCCTCCCCACCACCATCCCCAGGCTCTGCTCCTCTTGGCCACAGCAGGAAGGACTGATCAGCCCAGCTTCCCTTTCTGGCACATGTTTCCTTGAGGACAGGACCCATCGGCCTCCCTCCCACTCTCGGCCCAGCACATAAGAAAGTGTGGCAGCTGTGTGCAGGGGAGGCAACTCCTGGGGCTTGGAATCTAGATCAGGGGTCTCCAGTTTTCTGCTTCCATTTCAGCACCATCAACCATGACTCCAAAAGCAGTCCAGTCCAAGAACATGGCCATGACCATCAGTGGCAGCACCTGGGTCCTTTTCTTCCCTCTCCTTGTCTGCTGCATCCTAACTGGTATGTAAAGGGATCTCTTCTTCGTTGTACGTCCTCAGGGCAGCACTGGGATGGAAGCAAAGAGGGTGATGGAAAAGGCACATCACTGAGTGTACCTCTATTTCCTGGACTACACCCTGTTTCCTGGACTACACCTGTTCATTCTAGAAATGAGACAAGGAAAATCAGACCGCATGTCACTCGTCTGCTGCATCAACTCATGTAAGCTCAGCCTCTGAGTCAGTTCTGAATAATGCTCACAGTCACAAGCTGGCCAGATGAAAGACTTCACTGTGGTCTTGGATGGATGGAGGCCTGAGGCTACCTCAGATCACGGGAAGGGGGGTATCTCACAGAGGGATTGGGGAACATGCTGTGTGCTTGACCAGTGTTCTGTACTGTTCCTGTGCCTGAGTGGGGAGGTAGGATGTGGGCACTCTGGTGTCACACACTGCAAGGACTCAACTGGTTCACCCTGCCTGGCACGCACAAGGGCTGAGAATGCGAATACTCTTAGCTAATCCAACATCTGTTCCTGTGCTGACTATACCCAAAGGTGCTCCAGCACACCCAGCTCCAGTGTCACTCTGCATTCTTGCTTCATGTGTAAGGGTTAGCCAACCAGCACATACACTGTACCCACATGGAAGCCTTTCCCACCCACCAAGCCCCAGAAGCACAGTTTCAGAAAGTAAAGTCTTCAAATCAAAAGTTCCAAAGCTCCAGGGGAGGTAGCAACAAGAGATTTGCCCCAGATATGCCAAAGCAAACTTAGAAAGGTATGAGCAAGGAGGAGAACATGTCTCCCCAGAAGGAACACAATAATGCATTAATGCTGAGCTCTGAGGAAGGGCTGATGGACAAAAGGTCTGGGAAAAACCTCAAAGGAGTGATTGTTTGGCAACTCAATATAGAGAAAATTTTTCATAAAATTAGGAAGTCATATTGATATAAATTTCAACAAAAATGCAGACATGGGTGGGTCTCAGGATGGGGCGTCTCATGCCTGGATCCCGGACGGCCGCCATGGGCACATGGTGAGCCGTCCTCCCCGGGCGGCCAGTGCGCCATTGGTGCCAGGCTCCGCCTGCTGGCCGCCCGGCTGGGGAGCTCTGGGGATTTGGTTCTTTGAGTTGCTGCTTAATTAGCTCCAGGTTGAACCCATTGTGCTTCTTGGACCTGAAACAGGCAGTAACTCTTCCTTAGCAAAACTTGTAATCACTAATAATGCTGAGCACCAAATACCAGTCATGCAGAAGCTATGGCTTGGGGCTTGCCCTGCACAAGTAGCTCCAACAGTTGGCCAATGTGTCAACTGGTAATGGAACAGAGTAGATTAGGCACGACTGAGCAAACCTTAGCCCACAAGTAAAACTAGAAACCAGGAGGGAGCAGAGGTCATGCCGAGCTAGGCTCTTGTACCTGCTGGTCTGTGGGAGCCTGGGACGCGAAGCCACAGTGTCTAAGGCAGAGTTCGGGACAGGGGAGGGGCTGTGCCAAGCTGAGTCAGAGCATCCATTGGCAGGCATGTGATCTATGCCTGGGAACGGACCCAGTTGGGGAGCAAAGGGGACAACCCTAGCTGGGCTGAGGTTCCCACCAAGAGGCGCGTGGCCTGGAAGGGGGCTGCGTTCTGATCTGGAAACAGTTGTAGTCTCCCTTGGCACAAGTGTGGACTGGGATTGGATGCACCGAACTGGGCCAGACCCCGACTCCCCCTGGTGTTCTGGAGGACCAGGGCAGATGTGGGATGGACTAGGCAGGGTCTCAAACCCCTACTGAGCCATGTGTGAGCCATACGTGGGTATGGACAAACCATGGCTGGGCTGGAACATCCAACAGCAAGAACCAGATTGGGTTGAAGGCCAGTCAGGAAAAGCCACAGTTCCTGCTATGACAGGAGGTGGACTGAGTAGGGTTGGCTCATGGACCCACTGGTAAGCGTGAAACGTGGCATTGGGAGAGGTTCTGATGGAGGAGCCTGGGCAACTCCTCTGGCAGGACACAGACCCAGCAGGTAAACGCAAGAAACATGATAGGAAACAGCCCAGAAAAGGCCATGGAAACCTACCCACTGGCATACACTTGGCAGACGTGGGGGCAAGACCAGGCTGAATCTGTCCACATCATCCACTGGCAAATCCAGGCACCAGTGTGGGTCGACCCAGGGTCGGTCGCAACAAAGACTAGTGCACATTATGGAATGCCGAGGTGAGGTTGCCTGTACCAGAAGGGACCGCAGTGCCCAACCAGCCTGAGAACAAGAAAGGAAGTGGGCAGAGCTGGCAGGGGAATAAGGGAGGGTTCCTTTGCTGGACAGCTACTTCCGCAGGAGAGCATGGGCTGGGATGGGGGCAGACCAGACTAGGCAGAGCTACCACACCTGTGCGCCTCATGTGGACTAGATCAGGGAAAAGCCAGGCTGGGCGGATTATTCCTACTGGTGCAAACAAAATTAAAGTGGGCGAGGTTTGTTTGGGCAGCATCAACTGGAATCTGGGAGTGGGAGAGGCCTGGGAGGGAAATAGTGGGCTCATCCCTCTTGGGTTACCACTTCCACGGGAGGACATAAAACTAAGACAGCGGCTGGGGTGGAATGGGATGTGGGACAGACTGGATTACTGCTACACTTACTGGCAAACCAGGGTAGGGGGTGGGCCTGGTGGGGGTTATTGTGGGTCGCTCCAACCTAGGCTACAGCTCCCGCTGGTTTATGTGAGGGCCGAGTATGTGCTGGGCAGAACCAGACTGGACTGCAACACCCATTGGTTCCAGTGGAAGTCGGGAGTGAAAACAGAACCAACCCAGGAATTGCAACCACCAGCTGATTGGAGCGATGGACGGTGCCAGGCCCTGTACTTGTTAGCACATACAAGAAGTTTCTTTGGAGATCTTCCTAATCTAAATGCTGGACTCAGAACCATAACAAAGAAAAGAGAGAAGACAGAACAGGTCAACCAACCATCTAAGCTATGATGGACTATGTCAATCAGTGGATTTTTCAAAGACCTCATAGTGCTTGGAGCGGCAAGATTGACAGCGATTCATAACTGTTGCAATATCAAAACCACTTGAGCAAGAACCTCAGAGCATGCCCTACACCCGGGACTTGGGGAGGGTGGGAAATTGGGTGGGCCTTCTCCCTTAATACCCCCCTTTTAAACATGAAGGTAGCAATATGGAAAACATATTAGTATTATCCACTTTCCTGTAGCCCTTGAACCTTCTTACCCTAATTAACTATGTAAAGAATGTCAAAATAAAATTTATTAATAAAAAAAAAAGATATGTATACCAAATTCTATCATGTTTTTGGTTCTTAGCATCAAAAAAAAAATAATAACCTTGTAAAGATCCAGAAAAAAAAAATGCAGACATACAAAAGGAGTCAAAACAGAAATATTAGAAATGAAGTATTAAGTTAAATAAAAATATAGATAAAAGCACTAAACATACTTAGTGAGGCAGAACATCTAAAAGTCCTGATCTTAAAGCTGAGTCTCTTGAAATGTCTCACCAGATGATGCAAAATTAGAAAGATCAAAAATACTGTTTGGGATCTGTAGGACACCAACAATGACCAAAGAGAAGGTTCTTGGAGGTATCTGAAGAGAACTCAGGAAACAAATGGCCACAATGAGTGGGGCTGGGCCAGGCCAACATACTGTCTCTGTTGTTCATGTTTCTTATATTTCTGTGTTATTTGCAGGCATATGTGGATACACATGTTGGTTTTCTCCCCTGGGTGCTTTGGTGTTTGTAATATGCCTGCGTGGGTTAGTGGAGTGTCTGCTCCTTCTAGGGTATCCAGAGTCGTGTTCTGCATGGACCAGGGATTTCCCACCTGTGCTGGGGGTGGGGCAGGAGTCCATTGCTGGGGTCCGTGCAGTAGGTGTGGATGACACGAAGGTGTGAAGAGAACAGCTCCCCTCTTTGGCAGGGCCCGGGGAGCTTCCAGCTGTGTGCAGGGCCCAGCGTAAGTCTCTCTGACCACCTTGACGCTGTTTTACTCCTGTTTGCATGGACAGTCAAGCACCCCACTAAGAATTCTGTAATCTATTGAGGCATTGTTGTTTGCTCCTGTGAGGTGGTTTTTGCATCCGATGAGAGCTTGAGAGTTAATGTCACTGATAATGTCTTGGTGAGTGGGCCTTGTACAATTTACACACAGGAGCACAATTAAGCCCATGCCATTTCTGAACACCTTATTGTGTGCTAAGCATTGCATCAGAATCTGGCCCAGACATGTAGCACACCTTCTGGGAAAGGGCCCAAAAATATCCTAAATATTAATGCAAGTGATGGGAGTGAGAGCTGAAACTGCTATGGCAAT